GAGAAAGATATCATGTTTGGTAAGGTGGAGGGTCAGAGAAAAAGAGGAAGACCCCCAGTGAGATGGATTGGCCAAGTGGCAGCATCAATGGGCTCAAGCCTGGCAACAATTGTGAGGTTGGCCCAGGATCGGGCAGTGTTTCATTCTGTTGTGCATAGGGTTGCTATAAGTTGATACTGACCTGATGACACCTAACAACAACAACACAAAGAAATGTCTATTATCAAAGAAAGAGCTTACAGTTAGTTGCAGGGTCTGATATTCCTTTCTCATGTCCATTACACTGGAAGCAGGCCACATCCCCAGCAAATCATCCTTTTAATGCATTGGTGCTCATAGCCACTCATCAGTATTGCCTATGCCTGTATTAGGTTTAATCACTGTGGGAATAAGCACATCTAAACTGCTAACTTCTGGAAATCCTGGCCTGTTGAAGTTGACACAGAACCCCAACCATTACACTTGGTATTATGATATTGCCAAAGAACATTCAATGGATTGTCAGAATGACAAACAAATCTGTTTTGAAAGAAGTACAACTAGAATGCTCCTTAGAATAGACTATGGTGAGAATTTATCTCAATTACCTTAGACATTATTAGGAAGGACAAATCCCTGGAGAAGGACGTCATGAAAACGTAAAAAATCTCTCAATGAGACAGACTGACAGAATGGGGTCCCAAACTAGGAATGATTGTGAGGACGGCAAAGGATGGGGCAACGTTATATTCTGTTGTGCATGGAATTACTATGAATCATAACAGACTTGCTTGCACCTAACAATAACAATCAAAATAAGTATAAGGTGCCAATGAGTTGGTTCTGTATAGGGTTTCCAAGGAGCAGCTTGTGGGTTTGAAACATCCACCTTGTGGTTAGCAATGCTTATCCTACAGCACCAGGATAGTACCAAGAAGCAATAAAATAATTTTTAATACAGTTTTTTGCTTTGTTACCAAAACCTACCCCACCCTCCAAAAAAAAGCGAGAGGAAGAAGAAACGCAAAGACTAACAAAAGCCTGAACATCTACTTCTGAAGGGAATATTCAATGCCTAGCAAACATAAAAAAGGGCCTTGGTAGCATAGTTGGTTACAAGTTGGTCTGCTAACTGCAAGTCAACAGGTCAAATTAGTCAGCCACTCTCAGAGAAAGATGATGTTTTCTGCGCCCATACAGATTTATAGCCTGGAAACTCTATAAGGTAGTTAGGATTCAGAACCCACCAACGTGCTGGTACAAAACCACCACCACAAAAAACTACAACAAAACCATAAAAAGATACTTAAGTTCATTAATCATTAGGCAAATTTAAAATAAAATCATAAAGTAATGCTGGTGGCTGAATGCAGTTGAAAAAAGATGAGAAAATGTCAAATGTTAATGATTATGTGGAAGCACCTTTTTAGAAAATTCCATAGCAGTATTTATACAAGTAGAACATTGAAAGATACTTTGACCCAGTAATTCAAATGCGATGTAAAAAATATGTTCCAAAATGTTCACCTGCACTATTCATACTAATCTACACAAAAAGTGTCCATTAATAGTAAAATGGATGAATACATTGTAATATATTTAAGTAATGGAATAGCAAACAGGAAAAAAGGTGTGTGTAGTCCTGTTGCTGAGCTGTAGGCATAATACACTGGCCCACAAGGTCAGTTTGAACTGCAGGGTCGGCCTTTCAAACTCACTAAATGCTCCTGGGAACAACTTTAAGTCAGAACCCACCCGACGGCACTTAACAACAATAAAAACACACATAAGGTCACTGAAGCACACAATGTTGAATCGAAGAGTAAAGCACTACAATTCTACTTACAAAAAACTATTTGTAGTTCAGGTAATAGTTACTCTTGGTTGGTGTTACACTATTAGGGAGATGAGAGTGTCTGGGTGGTGACAATGTTTTGGTTCTTGACTAGTTTCCCTACATGAATTATTCAATTTGAATAAATATTATTCATAGATACCCAATTTTAACAGTTAAAACTGAAACAAATAAAGGGGGAAAATTTTTGACAGCAGCAGATCAACTGTTGTTAAGTGCCGTTGAGTCTTTTCTGACTCATAGTGACCCTGTACAGGGTTTCCTAAGAGGCACTGGTGAGCTTGAACCGCTGACCTTGCAGTTCAAACTGACCTTATAGTGCCGCACATTAACCCACAGTGTCGCACCAATAGATCAACTACTTTATTTAAACCCCACGATATCGTAATGTCTTGTCTCCACTCCTCCCCCATCCCTGCGAGCATGCGCACACTCACAAGAACATCAAAACCTTATTGGTTGGGCTGAAAGGCACAGTTCCGGAAATAACATCTTAGCACCGCCTCTTCCCTCTTGTTCATCCCACCTTCCCGGCAAGATACCGTCTAGTCCTCAAGCCACAAGCCATTCACTTCCTGCAAGTTATCTACTGCATTGACTCACCCCTCCACCAAACTGTCGCTTTGACTTGAGAGTAACTTGTTTCTGGTTGTCATCGGTTTACTGCAGTCCTACAGGCTCCCCACTGCCGCCATTATGAACATCCGCAATGCTCGTCCAGATGATCTAATGAACATGCAGCACTGCAACCTCCTTTGTCTTCCTGAAAATTACCAGATGAAATACTATTTCTACCATGGCCTTTCATGGCCCCAGCTCTCCTATATCGCTGAGGATGAGGATGGGAAGGTTGTGGGCTATGTTCTGGCCAAAATGGAAGAGGACTCAGATGACGTCCCCCATGGACATATCACTTCACTAGCCGTGAAGCGTTCACACCGGCGCCTCGGACTGGCCCAGAAGCTGATGGATCAGGCCTCCAAGGCCATGATAGAGAACTTTAATGCCAAATACGTGTCCTTGCATGTCAGGAAGAGTAACCGGGCTGCCTTGAACCTCTACTCTAATACTCTCTACTTTGAGGTTAGTGAAGTGGAGCCCAAATATTATGCAGATGGAGAAGATGCCTATGCTATGAAGCGAGATCTCTCGCAGATGGCTGGTGAGCTGAAGAAATGCAAGTATGTGGTGAGCAGAGAGAATGAAGTGGAGTCCCAGGACAACATACTCCCTGGTTCCGAAGAGGCCTATCAGGGGAAGGGTTCAGCTGCGGAGGATACTGGGAGTGACAGCAAAGAACTCAGAGAGTGCACAAAGAGCCTCGAAGTCCAGAACGGTTTAGAAGACTTGAATTCCACTGCTTAGCCTGTTTGAAGTACTCTTCCTTCCTTAACCTGGACCCTCCCAACCCAGGCCACCCTCAGTCCTTCCAACCTCCTTGGTCCCCGCCAACTGCCCAACTTCTCATCCCACCCCAACTATTACTGCCACCAGCACCACCTCCATAATCTGGCCTGCTCAGTACAATCCAGTAGGTTTCGCATTGGAACCACCTGGTAGACTGAAGAATTCTGGGGTGGCTTGGGGTGAAATTTATTAGAAACAATTCATGCTGAAGTAGATTCAATGAAGTAAAAGAAAAGAAGTATTTATCCTGCCTTTCTTAATACGAATTGACATAGTGGATTCAGAGCTGGGCTGTTAATCTCAAATTCAGCAGTCCTAATCTACCAGTCTCACCATGGGAGAAAAATGAGTCTTTCTGCTCCTGTAAAGAGTTACAGTCTCGGAAACACTATACAAGGTCGCTGTGAGTCAAACCAACACGTTGGCACACAACGACCACCACATAATTGATTAATAATTTTCTGTATAGAGAATTTCTGACTAATTTTGAAAGGATGATTGCATTAGTGAATCACCATTTTGAAGCTCTTGATGAAATAATGATAGATAGGCAACAGTTATCAATGAATGACTAATACATTTAAGTAAAAGTTGGAGAATTGCATAATAATGGATCAGTGTACTGTTCTACTCTGTCACACTAAGAGTCAGCGTTTGCTTAATAGCAGCTGACTATTGGTGTGTGTGTGTATCCTGGATGTAATGAAGGCTCTGGACTTATTCTTTTTATAGAAAATAGAGTGACAGGCTAAACTACACTGTGGTGCAGCAGCCACCAAGTCCAGAATTTGGGGATTTCTGCAGAACAAATGACCTGGGTGCTTTTCAACAACAACAACAAAATGACATTTTAAGAAAGATAAAAATTTGGGAAATTTTCTATAATAAAGCAGCCTGTAAGAGACCTTGGCCAAATAGAAACCATTGTGAACCTTGTTTGTATCCTTATTCAGACAAACCAAATTATGATATTTTGAGTTGACTAGGCAAATTTAATGATATATGTTGTTGTTGTTGTTAATTGCCATAGAGTCAGTTCTAACTGAGTTTGAAATGCTCATCTTGGATTCAAACCTACCTTAAAGTCCTGTACTTTACAATGCCATCCCAGGACTCAGTAGATTATATAACATCAACTATATCATCTCTCTCTCTCAACAATATATATATGTTGTTGTTGTCAGGTGCCATCGAGTCGGAACCGACTCATAGCGACCCCATGCACAGCAGAACGAAACAATGTCCGATCCTGGGCCAACCTCAC